ACAGACATGTCTTTTCCATGGAGTAGTGGTGGAATATTGGGGTATATTTACATGAATCTAGGGACTCTTGTTTCACTATGGACTGGTCTCTGTAATGGAGTAGGTGTGAAACATTGGGGTATATTTATTTGAGCAAATAGCTCATCATTTCTCCTGTTTATTTTTAAAAAGAAATTTGAATCAGTTTTGATACATAATATTATTTATAAAATTTATAAGTCTTTGATAAATCATTTATCTTGCTCATTGATTTTAACATTTCATGCCCTTTTTTACCTCACAAAAACCATCTGATAAACTGAGGGGGGCTCAAATGGTTACAATTTCTTTAGGCTGGCCGAGTTTATCTTAGTATGGGAGAAAACCTGTTTCTTCATGTACTCAGTTATATATTGATTGTATCCTTGTATTGTTATCATAATTGTCTGTATTGGTTAAATTCTTAAAATAACATTTAAACTTCTGGATTTTTTGGGTGTTGAAACATTGATTTTTCATTTTTTTTTTCAGCCTTCCACTACAAGTATCACAAGCACCATGTTTACTGCAGCAATGCCAAAGGCATTTTTTTCAGTCCTGTTTCCAACAGCTGCCATGTGTCTTCTGGTATATTTGGAATATTTTGATTCAGCCACTGTAGATATAGGTTTTCAGTATTATGCAGAAGTTCCAAATTCACGTTTGAAGCACCTCTTTCCCAATTGGATCCGTATGCCTCTGAACACATTTGTCAACATTGGATATGTTATCATGGGATCATATTGGTGTGCAATGACTACCATCTCATATGAGAAGAAAGTTGTGTCTGAAATTGATTCATATCTTTTCTATATCTTCAACTTTATGGGATGTGCATATGGACCAATTCAAGCTCTCAGGATTTTATCACAGCTACATAAATTTTCTGTGTTAGATCAGTGGTATACACTACCATTTTTTATGTGGGTATTTATTTGGGGAATGTATCTTAAGTATGGATGGAGCCTTGTTCGAGCTCAAATACTCATGATAATTTCTTTTAGTAGCTATGCACTGGTTCTGCTTCATCCACATGGATTTGAGGCCACCCTTGGGATCCATATTGCTTTAGCAGTTGTGGGAGCCCTCATTTCTTGGCACAAGTATCCGCAGGCAAAAGCATTATCTCCATTTATAGGGGCAGTTCTATGTTGTGCAGGGTTTGTTGGACTCAAACTGCTTGATTTACAGTTGCCTAGTTATCATTCCATTTTTAAGCTGATATCTGGTCACTTTCTATCAAAATTATGTGATATTTATCAGGTTCACTTTGTAAATAAGTTTTTCTACTCAATTACACTTGCCAGATTGAATGAAGGTAAAAAGAAGAAAGAATGAATGTTCTTGTAAATGTTAATAAGTTTTTCTTTCTCATATTCTGGTTTGTTAATTAGTTTGGGACCAAAATGAATTTTGATCCTTTGCATGAAACATAATATTTAGCATATTTTTCAGTTCATTGATATTTACTTTTTGTGAATGCATAGATTTTCTATATTTTATATGCCAGTTGGTTTTTTTGTAAATCATAGAAAATATTGCATGTATTTTGAGCCCTTGGATTTAAACTTAATTTACTAAAATATTTTAAGAAAGCCAAATAATGTTGAAAATATTGTAAGTTGTTTATTACATTTGAATATGGTATCCTTGCAAAGGATCCATGTTAAGTTAAGCTTCCTATAATTGAAAAAGGTGTTTATTAAATTAAGAGAAAGTTTAGAATAAGAAATTACTCGGGATCAGCAAATAATAACATGCAAAATTCCAGTTTCGTGCTAAAAAAAGTTGGGTTAGTCAGCTGGTACAAAACTCAGTTTTACTCATTCCCCCCTCTTTAATACTCATATTGAACTACAGTTGTATGTCCTAATTTTATTCCCTTGAGAGAAACCTTCTTAGCAGTAATCAACAATATGATGTTTTTAAAAGATATTTCACTCCGTACATAAATAAAAAATTGGTGTTTGATATAAAGATATTCACGCCATATATAATTACATTTTTTTGTTTTGATATAAACAGTTTGTGGATGATTAACAATATTCACTATGTATAGTTAAAGAATTTGTGGCTGATATAATGGCATTAACAATATTCACTTAATAATTAAATAATTTGCGTCTGATATATAAAGATATTCATTTAATTTATAATTAAATAATTTGTGTCCAATAATAAGATAATGTTAAACAGTCATGATTTTTTTTTTATTGGTGTGGTTACTCTCAGATTGATATCAGTTGAGCAACCCCCTTGTGACAAAAGTTAAAGTATTTTAAGTGTTCATGTTTTATTCCATATGTGTGTTTCTTGTATTAACATTATTAAATTTTATTTTTATTAAATTTTGATTAAGAGTTTGTACACCATTCAAATCTTTTATTTCTTCTAATATATATTATTTCTGGAGTTGTTTATTTCATCATCATAGTAAAATTAGTTTCTATAAGTCTAAGGATTAATAAATAAAAGCGAAATTAAATTAATGCATATTTAATTTCTATTAAGTATAGTTTATAGTTTTAATAAATAGATATATATTATAATGTTTCTGCTTTGCGCATAGGTTGTTTGAGATCTTGATTAGGCTTGAGCAGCATTCACATTATGTGAACACTCAGGGCTCAGGTGCCACAAGTTTCTTGTTTAATGCATGAATGACAGTTTTGATCGTAAATATTGTAAACACAACATTAAGTGGCTATAGTTAGGATACTAATAATTTAATAATTATTTCTTAAAGTAATACATGAATAACTGTTTAGTTTAGTCAGTTTAATCCTAATCAGTAAATTTTGAAAATTTACCTATAATATTTATTGGTAAAGTTAAAATAGTAGTATTAAACTATTTAATAAGTGTTCTTCACATTCATTGAAGTTGTTTAAACATTTCTTACGTAATGTGAATCAAAGTCTGTTTTCCATTACTTAAGTCATCTTTTAATCCATACAGTATGTGTTGAATATTGATGACACTTGCATTACCTTCAAACCCCTTTTAGCCATATTGAATTTATATTCTAATTGAAGCTATTCAATGTTGTGTGACACATAATATTAAAAAGGGGAAATTTTGGGCTTATGGAATTGGAGTCTTGCCTTTTTTAGTTTCAGTTTGTGAGTATATTTAAATCACTAGCCCTAGGCCTGTCTAAAAATATTTTTCTTTGAGCATTGTGCTATGTTTTATTCCAAATAAAATGAATATGGCATATGAATATTATTTCAACACCATGGTTTTAAAATGAGTCATATAAAAGAATGAGAAGCAACATGATTTGTAAAATTCAACAAATTAATTCCCTAGAATACAAAGTGAAAATGTAAAAATACTGTATTGCAAAGTAACTCCCAAATAATCATAGTATTTTGAACACAAGTTCTAACAATTAAATTTCTAAATCCAATGCTGGAAGCATTGATGTGCCTATGGTAACTTGTGTTGTAGTGAAGTGCAAAGTCTTTTGTTGAACCCAATAATACAATCCAAGAATATATCCTTATTTTAAAATTTCACTATAATTCCAAGTCTGTCTTTCCAAGAATATTTTTGAGCACTTTGTATTTCCAGAGAAAAATAATTAGAATTTAAATCATTTGAATAAATTCCAGCACAAATGAAAAAGCGGACATTATAATACATATGAATCTACTCAGATCTTACAGCACAAATAAATAATATTTCTAGTACCGAAGATTATATAGTCCTATATAGACCTTGAATCACAATTACAATGAAGAAAAAAACAAAAATAAAATCTACTACATAACATAAAATTTTAGTTTGGAAGGTTTACAAGATCATCTCTAGGTATAATTAAAAGGTCTGTTACTAAACTTATAATAAAGAACATGGAAAACACAATGATCTTGACTTAGACCAAGATAAATGGTTACTTCTGTTAATAATAATCATAATATTAATCCATTCTCAAAGAGAGAATATTAACTATGTATTACTTGTTTACAGAAAAAAATACAAATGATTTGGGTCAGGTAGAAAATGAACTTGAAAAAAGACAAGGTCCAAAATACAATTAACCATAGCATATAATGAAATAAAAGAAATAAAAAATACCTAAAGTGCAAAAAATGAAAATTAAATACACATAACATCTCCCCATAAATAAAAGACTTTTGGCAGTAAAGCTTTCTTTTCACTATTAGTCAAATGGACTTGTGATAAACATTTATATAAAATGAGATCTTATGAATGACACAAAGTATACATGAAACAGTATCATATTTCTTTGCATGTGAAAAGTGCATCTGCTGTCTTTTCTCATATTGTGCCAAATGTCATTATTGGAATCCTGCATCATTTGGAGTCAACTTGGATAAGGCACTTCACTCACATTTTTCATGGTATCACTTGGTATGTATATCTAATTTGCTGTATTTTGGACTTCACCTTGTTTAAAGCCAAGTTAATTTTCTATTCCACTTGAATTGTTGATTTTGGTTTTGTATCCATGTTTATCTCTGGAGTGGAGAACATTGGAGGTTCTATATGAAATGCTTGGTTTACCTGTTGTTTACATGATTTTATAGTTTTAATGTGATGTGTGATTTAGACTTTTTAACATAGCTTTAACAATTTTTCAGTCACATCGTTATAATGCCTGCAGTGTGAGAGTTTATAATGATGTCTAACACTAGGGCATCATGCCACAGACATGTAGCATGATGTCCCACCAGGTCACATTATCCTGAAGGTGCCCCAAGTGGCCAAATGTGGATATGTGAAAAAAGCTTGCCAGTAGCTTTTCGTGGGTCGGTTGTTCTTTTGGGCGATTTCCCGGTTTCTTCCTCCACCATTAATACTGGCCACCATGAATATCGTGTGCTGAAAAATGTTGTTAAGCCCAACAACAATCACATTATTCTGACTCCAGGCCGACCAGTCCTAACACTAACCTCTTGCTGCTGAGTGCCAAGCAAAGCAGCTGTTAGTGCCAGTTTTTAAAGTCTTTTGTATGACTCGACTTGGGTTTGAACCTGCGACCTCCCACATTCAAGGCAGATGCTCTAACCACTAGGCCACCAAAGCAGTAGTTTTAGTAACCTACCATTTAATTAAAACAAAGATTTTATCTTGTAAACATATGGAACCTGCCAGTATGAAATTTGTCACTAGGTAATAGGTTCCTTTTGGAAAATGTGAGCCAAGTCCAAGTAGACAATTATATAATATTGTTTATTTAGTAAGATTTCAGCAGAATCAGTTGCATTACTGTTGTATCGAGTATTTTTTTTTGACTGAATTTATTTATTCAAATTATTTAATTCAAGTAATTCTACTCTGGAAATACGAAGTGCTAAGAAAATAAATTCCCTGAAATAGAGACCTGAATTTATAATGAAATTCAAATAAGGTTATCTTCTTGGATTATATTATTTGATTCAACAAAAGATGGCACATTATGACACAGGCCACTTCCATTGTTGGATTTATTTTTGAAATCCACTAAAGCTTATTCAGAACTTTAATCATTAGGACTTGTGTCTGTAATTTTATGATTATTGGCATTTTAATTCGCAATACTGTAGGTTCTTTTTTTAAGTCTCTATCTGCAATTTATGGAATTGAAATTAAAATACAAAAATGAAAGGGAATTATGGAAGCTTATTAATGATCTGCCTATCCTATCTTTAATAAAATTTTAAGGGACACCGTAGATTCTTTGGGTCTTTTATTATCAGGTACTTTGCCTTTTGCTTAGTAGTCATCTTCTGGTGAGAGTGTTCTTATTTAGGAAGCAGAATGAAGTTTTGTTAGTGTTCCTTACTTGTGTAAATTTGTCATCAGACTTGGTCACAGGATCCTTTACAGTCAGAACAGAACTATCATTAACCCCATTGAGGGTATTCATTAATTACTGGCAATGACATAACTGGAGATCAGGTTGTGGTTAATCTACATGTAAATGACAAGCCTTGGTTGGATCCAAAAGTCATTCCTATTGAAAATGAAATCTCTGATTTATACACAGTTGCAGTTAGTAGAGCTGTGGCAAAGATATATCTTGTGAATAATGTTGATCAGAAAAGCATTCCTTTAGCTGACACATGTATTGTTCAGGCTTTTGATGAGGCTACTTTTGACCATCATTTAGATCCATCAAGAGGTATTGATCAGAGTGATTCTTTTTTTTACTCTTCATTCTCCTTATTCTAATCTAGGTGACAAGGGACTTGTAGTTGAACAGGAAAAAGATCCAGAGACCTCCTGTTTGTTTCAGAGGGTTATTAACAAAACTGAAGACACATAAGTACCTGTTTGTTATTCTTTTAAATTGCACATAGTTTTATCAATAAGTACACTTAGGAAGAGATTTAGGTTTCTGATCAGTCTCGTCAGACATTAGATTCCTATTAGTTGTACCATACTGAAATCTGTAAATATTCAATTGAGACTTTTATGGTTTCTTATTAACCATCTGCTGAGAGGAAAATTATTGACAAATGAAATCTAATGAGCCAAAGAATACTTGTTAGCTGCATGAGCAGTGTTTTCTAAGGTATCTATCTTGTGTTCATCAAAGTAAATTTTGATGTCAATATGGATTCAGTTCTTTAAGTCTTAAACTAAAATGAGTTGTCTAAGTTTGTCATAATCTTTATCAATCTATTTAGACATGCACAACTTATCAAATTGTCAGTCTTTTTCCCCTGGCAAATTTGACATGGGTTTGGTCTTTTGCTTTTCAGCAATTCTGAAACCTCTATTGATATGCTTATGGTATCAACTCGTATTAGCCTTGAAGATATGTTGTTGATTAAATCATAATCGGTACTTTTTTCTACTTGCTACTAAGTATGCTCTGTAATAACAATGTTCAGTACTCTTTTGCCCATTTTTAATTCTCTGCTATTTTCTCAAAACGAAAAAAATACTTTTCTACATCTTTTTTTTTAATAGGAGGTACCAATCTAATATTTTTTGAAACCTCAAAAGCTGAACTTTCATGAGTGGAGTGCTTTTTGAATTCAGTTTTAATTCCTTTAATCTAATTTGAAATTCACTTTCTTCCTTTTCTTTTTGCATTTGTAATTTCATTTGCATCTCCCTTTTAAATTCAAAACCAGAAATGTACTCATCCTCCATGTACCTTGACATTATCAACATGGTGCTGACCAGAATTCCTTTGAATAATTTATAACAGTTCCAAAACAATATTATAGTCCAGATAATGAGCACTTTTTATTTCTACTGAATAGTCTAAACAAATGTTCTTCCTCTCCAAATATCTAAGTATGTCTGCAGACTTACAACAGGAACACAAGAAATGAAAATGACTCCAAAATCAGAATGAAACTGATTGCTTAATTCTCTCCTTCACACCAAGATGAAATTTTATTGGTCAGACAAATGTCAGGAGGTGTTCAATAAATAAAAGGACATACTTAAGAATATACTTCTTGCAGCTCCATATATCAATCTTTTAAAATGTCTATTGACGCAAGTAATGAAGGTGTTGGTGATGTATTAATTCAGGAAGATTAAAATGGCATGATTCATCCAGTATGTTATTTCTCAAACAAGTTGAATAAGAACCAGAGAAATTATTCCACTAATGAGGAGTGATTGGCTTTGATTCTGACCACAACACCTTGAAGTGTTAATTCTGTTCCTTTTCTGATTATTGTATTCAGTGATCCCAAGTCCCTTACTTTAATCAATAAAATGAAAAATAGAAATAAGAGGTTGCTGAAATTGAGTTTGATGTTGCAATATAACATTGATATTCTGTACATCAAGGGAAACAACATTTAATTGCTGATGCTCTTGCACATGATTTTTATATTGCTTTGTTATGTATACATTTTGTACATACATTATGCCTCTTCCTGTGTAATTTCATTTTTATTATCATTTGTATGTTTGAATAATATGAAATAAGAACACTTTATTGCATAAATCTTTCTTATCCTTATGAGGGGAGGTGTTGTGTATATTTTTTAAAACTCCTTGAACAGGATTTTCTTATTTTTATTAATGGCTGTAATTCGCATCTTTAGTTAGATTTTGCATACATGACCCAAATATCTTAAGAGTGTAGTATTTACATAGGATCTATAAATCAAACCTAAAATGCCTTGACAATTATTAATAATAATCTTAATAATAAGACTTAATGGTGCATATAGCTTAATTTTCAGTGGCTGATGGGGCTTTGACATTGCTAGAATAATTCTGTAACTTTTGTTGGTTGGGCTTGGCTATGTGAATAGGCCAATTCGATGCAAAATGAGTAGTGTATTCTGTCACTTAGGGTGGTTTCCTTGTTTTATATAAAAAAGCAGAACAGCAATTCCATTAGGATTAACACTGGGCATTTGAAATGAAAACACTCTTACTGTTAAATTTTTTTAATCAAAATACATGTTGTCAAAATCAAGTAATCAAAGACCAAAATGTCATTCAATGAACAAAGTTTAATGTTTTGAAAACATTTTCAAAATAAGACATGACTGATGTGAAATATATCCCACCCTTGTGCGTAACAGTCCTCTTTGCAGGCACAAGAATGGCTTTGTTGAATGGAGACTACTGACTGTATCTTAATGACCTTAATCAATAGTTAAACTATGCAATATTGAACTAAATAATGTTATTTTCTTCTTAGACTTGTTCCCTGAACATTTTTAACTACAAAATTGGTAAGCTTTTTCCTTGCCCCAAATGGATGTCGTCCCCATATATTGGCCCAGGTCTGTAATGTACAACTAATATTATTGTGTAAAAACCATTTTTCTTCTTTCAGTCATTGACTCCAAAATTGACAAACTTCATCCCAGCATGAATATGCAAGCTATTTATAAAACTTGATAATGAATAACCGTTGAAATGAGGAAAAGATTAAATTAACAAATAAATGGTTAACATGATTGATTCTGCATTTTTGGTGAGGATATAAAAAAATGAACAGATCCCAACTTCAAGATTCTTTACCTGTCATGAGTTAAAGCTTCATGATCTTGTGACAGTACTGATAAAATGAGATTGCACTTGTGTACAGATAAAGGGACTACAAGATAAGGAAAAGGTTTATATTAAAAGATTTTTGGTCTGAACAACATTGATTTCTATTCCTGAAACTGCCTTTATCCTTAGGTCAGAAAACCAATGTTAAAATGCAACAAGAATGAACTGAAACAAATTTGTGATGCTCCAACGATGTGGCAACAGAAGTAATTGTAAGGCTTGAAAAATGTATAAAACTCCAAATACTAAATACAAGTACTGAAAGTTTTTACCAAACCTGAATAAACTTATAATCAACCAGCCATTATGGAAATAAAGTTGTCAATGTCCAAGATTTTCTAATAGCAGCAATATGTAACTACAAACTGAGACCAGTCTGCCGTTCTTATGACAATAGTTTATGTGTATTAAGAATAAGAGTGCAGCACTTGCATGAGCTTGAATTGAAACGAATGGAAAACTAAGCTGACAAAAAGTAAGGACTTTTAGCAGAACATCCTTTTCATTTGAGAAAAAGACTGACTAGCCCTGAATCCTGTCTGAATGAAGAATGAATGAAATATTCACCAGAGTGCCAGAAATCTTTACTTATCATTTTAAGTTGGCTGATTGAAATTTCAGCCTCATTATTAATATGGCACCATTTTATTTGAGCACTTTTCATGGACTTTGAGGAGAATTTTTAATTACGGAAATGAACTTTCTGCATCTCTTGACTTATCACTGCATAAATAGGTTACATGGGAGAAGAAGAACAAAAATAGTATACCTACAGCACAAAGGAACAATTCTCAATCTGGTAAACAACATATATCATGTATTATTTGATGAACCCAATGTTGTATTCCCTCAGGAAAATTCAGAGTGTTTTTGGGCAGATTCAAGAACTTTTAAATACACAATCAAATTTTGTTTTAAAAAATTCTCTGAGCTTTCGAGGCAAATCTTCAAAATCAAAGATTATTCAAGGTTGCATGAGCCATATTTAAGGTCTCATTTTTTTATGAAACACACACACACACACACATATATATATATATATATATATATATATATATATA